CAGTCGGCGGAGGTCGTGGAGGCGGCGGCGATCAGGTAGCAGCGGCGGAGGTCGCGGAGGAGAGAAGAGGGCCGAAGGGTTTCGATCGGTGAGGTCGAGAAGAGAGAGAGACGAAATGGGGAAAATCCGATTTTTTTATTATTATTAACATAAAAACGGATTCTCAAAATCCGTTTTTATCGTTGAATGGTCAACACGGATTTTGAGAATCCGTTTTTGTCGTTGAATGGTCAAAAACGAATTTTCAAAATCCGTTTATTAATAAATACTTTTTTAAACTATACTTTATACTATATGTTATGGGGTGCATTATATGTTATGTATATATGAACATATATTGGTATATGGTATATATTATATACTATATATTATATAGTATATATATATATATGTTATATATGGTATATGGTATATATTACATACTATATATTATATAGTATATATATATATGTTATATATGGTATATGGTATATATTATATAGTGTATACTTTATACTATACTCTATACTATATGTTATGTATATATGAACATATATTGGTATATGGTATATATTATATACTATATATATTATATATTATATACTATATATTATATAGTATATACTATATGTTATATATGGTATATGGTATATATTATATACACTATATATTATATATTATATACTATATATTATATAGTATATGGTATATATTATATACTATATATTATATATTATATACTATATATTATATACTAATTCGAGTTCGATTTCACTATAATTGACTTTAATTGTACTAATTCGGGTTCGATTTCACTATAATTGACTTTAATTGTACTAATTCGAGTTCGATTTCACTATAATTGACTTCAATTGTAGTAATTTGACTTTAATTGTACTAATTCGAGTTCGATTTCACTATAATTGACTTCAATTGTACTAATTTGACTTTAATTGTACTAATTTGACTTTAATTGTACTAATTCGAGTTCGATTATACTAATTCGAGTTCGATTGTACTAATTCGAGTTCGATTGTACTAATTCGAGTTTGATTTCACTATAATCGTACTAATTTGACTTCAATTGTACTAATTCGAGTTCGATTTTACTATAATTGACTTTAATTGTACTAATTCGAGTTCGATTTCACTATAATTTTACTAATTTGACTTTAATTGTACTAATTCGAGTTCGATTTCACTATAATAGACTTTAATTGTACTAATCCGAGTTCAATTTCACTATAATTTTACTAATTTGACTTTAATTGTACTAATTCGAGATCGATTTCACTATAATTGACTTCAATTGTACTAATTTGACTTTAATTGTACTAATTCGAGTTCGATTATACTAATTCGAGTTCGATTGTACTAATTCCAGTTCGATTGTACTAATTCGAGTTCGATTTCACTATAATTGACTTCAATTGTACTAATTCGAGTTCGATTTCACTATAATTGACTTCAATTGTACTAATTTGACTTTAATTGTACTAATTCGAGTTCGATTTCACTATAATTGACTTTAATTGTACTAATTGGAGTTCAATTGTACTAATTCGAGTTCGATTTCACTATAATTGACTTTAATTGTACTAATTCGAGTTCGATTATACTAATTCGAGTTCGATTGTACTAATTCGAGTCCAATTGTACTAATTCGAGTTCGATTTCACTATAATCGTACTAATTTGACTTCAATTGTACTAATTCAAGTTCGATTTTACTATAATTGTACTAATTTGAGTTCGATTTCACTATAATGCTACTAATTTGACTTTAATTGTACTAATTCGAGTTCGATTACACATTATATAAATTATCCAAATACAAAATCATCCAAATACAAAATATTAATTTAAAAAAATCTAGTTCCCCCAATCATCGCGGAGTCTAGTTCGATCGATGGGAGGATGCGAATACGGGCAACGGTCCGCGAAATGTTCGGGATCACCACATCTAGTGCATTGATCCCGGCCCCTTCTGCGGCGCGCCCGACGATCCATTTGCATTTTAAAGCGTCTCGTTTGGGCGCGACCGGGTCCAGGCTTCGAGATGATCCTCTCCCAATGCGGAATCAAATTCCATCCCACCTGCGGCCACGTGTCAGGATTTCCAATTGAAGCAAAATTCCAATTAGAAAATTGAGCAACCCAGTTCGCCGTACAAAAGTAGGGATTATACAACGACACCGGTTGATCACCCCGGTGACGACACACTCGAATTGCATGAGGGCATGGTTTTCGATGTGTCTGCCACTTCCTACATGCACAACGCTGCTGCTGATAATAGACCTTAAACCTATTTTCAACAATGATTTATATATATAAATTAAAAAAAAATAAACTCATTTGAATGGAAAAAACAATTACAATTAAAAAATACATACTTGTTTTGCCCTCTTCCATTGGCGCGTAGACCGGTTGTCACCATGTACTGGGATCCGTCGGCGTCCGCACATCGCACCTCGTGAGTCGCCGCCGTCTTTTCCAACACCCGATAGGCGGCATAGAGGTCGGTAGGAATGGAAGTCCTGCATCCCCTGGACTTCTTTTGTTCCTGTTCAAACAAATCCAGAGTCTTGTTCATTATGGCCTGTACCAACGCTCTGCATGGCAGGAACCTGACACCTTTGAGGACATTGTTGTAACTCTCTGACATATTCGTTGTCAGAGTGCCCCATCGACGTCCTCCATCTTTGTACAGGGTCCACTTTTCCAGAGGAATTTTGAAAAGGTAATCGTATGCTTCCGGGTTACATTCATGGAGTTCCTGTCGACTCTGATCAAATTTGCGGCGAGAACACAGTGAACCCAACCTCCAGCACAAACCCCGGATTTTCTTAGTCCGGTACCTTGAAAACACGTTGCTCCGGAGGTGTCGAAGGCATATCCGATGAAATGCATGGGGTTCGTGCCAAGTCTCCAGTAATTCAACGGCACTCAATATGCCGTTGTCCCTGTCGGAAAGAAGAAATATCGGTCTGTCGGGGACGACATGATGGCGCCGATGTGTTAGGAAAAAGGAACAGTTAGCCGTGCTTTCTTCTTCCACAATCGCATACGCAACTGGCAATAGACGCTTATTCGCGGTTTGTGCTATGAGAACAAGCAGCTTCCCCTTGTACGAACCTGCTCAGTTGGACATATGTTTTTTTTTAATCAGACACTATTGTAAATTATAAAATAAAATATTAATTTGCAATTAACAAGTAGTTTCCCCTTGTACAAACCTCGCAGGTGCGTGCTGTCGATGCTAATAATCGGCGGGCAACGAAGAAAGGTTTGAATGGCGGGGCCAAACGCCCAGAAGACAAATCTGAATTCTCTGTCTCGAGATTGCTTCGCCATTTCTCCACCCTGCCATTCCCACTCAACAACTGTACCGGGATTCGCCCTTTGAAGGGCGGCGAAAAGCCTGCAAATTAATAAAAGGTAACCATAAATAACTAAATAAATAAATAAATATAGTTACAAACAACACGTAAATACGTTTATAATTAATTTTTGCTTACTGGGGGAGTTGTGCAAAGTTCGATTCCCACGTGCCATGCAGACGATCAATGGCTTTTTTTCTCCCGTGCCACGCCTTCTTGTAACTGACATCGACGCCCCAGGCACTTTTTACGTCGGCCTGGACCATTTCCACACTGTAGGTCACCTGCTTCTGAATCTTAGCCAACAGAAGATTTGAGATCATGGTGGCGGTCACATTCTTGTGGTCATTTCTCTCGAACACCTGCATGCAAGTGTGGCTATCGGTCCATTCGGTTACCTCCCACATGCCGTGATCCCGTTTGTTAAGACTCACCCGGGCCTTCCATATACATGGTACAACTTCATCTGATCTGCACACAACTTTGAACGACTTCTTGTTGGAATCTTTTGTCCGGACCGCCCTAAGCTTCTCAACATTCCAGGCATTAATACCAATCCGGGCTTCTTCCTTGGTACGAAAAACTGTACCCAAATGGATAGTCTCGACATGCCCATTCCAGGTTGGCAAGGCATACTCGTCCCTATCTACACATGACGAGTCCCACTCACCCATCTCGCGATAATCGTAGAGGCCTTCATTTGGAAAGGGGTGTTCTTCAATGAATTCTTGTTCGCTCTCCTCATTAATTGATCTGTCCGATTCGGTTTCCGAGGTCTCATCAGTGAAATCGTCTTCACCGGGAATGAAATCTTCATCTCCAACAATTTCTTCCTCAATGTCCGGTCCTCTCATGGTAAAGCTCGTTCCTTCGCTGAAATTACTCGTCCCTTCGCCGAAATTACTCGTCCCTTCACCAAAATTACAGACATGCGTAGTCCACGTATCCTCACCACCAAACATTCCCTCGTAACCATATGATGGCGTAGGATCCTCAACCTGTGTAACCTGTGTGTTTGCTTCCAACACTATATGCAAAAACACCTAGGACATAGGAGCAGAGTAGTAAATCCACGAAAGAGAATTATCATTATGCAGTCTTCCGGTAATAAACGAACCATCCTGTTGTCTCGCCATCAAAGTAATATCCGAAATTGTCCAACTATCACGAAACCCACCATTTTCGTAAATCATATCTACCAATTGTTCATATGATATTATTCCATTAATAACAAATGAACAATCCGGACGAGACATATAATTCGAAAAATTCCATAACTCACTATGGGGAATTTTCCAGTACACATTAACAAAGTATGGACCGTTAGACGACATTTATAACCTGTTGCACAAAAAAATTTATATTTTACAAATTACAACAATATAAAATGGCTAATCAAACACCACGAGAAAATTTCAATTATTATTTTACCAATCTACATTTAAAAATTCAATTATTTTACCAATCTACATTTAAAATGGCTAATCAAACACCCGAGAAAATTTCAATTATTATTTTACCAATCTACATTTAAAACTCATTTCCAACAACAACATATAATTAATTATATTTTTACTCGAACAAAA